TTTTTTAAATTTTTTTAAAAGATTTTATTTATTTATTTGATAGACAGTGAGAGAGGGAACACAAGCAGGGGGAGTGGGAGAGGGAGAAGCAGGCTCCCCACTGAGCAGGGAGCCTGATGCGGGTCTCGATCCAGGACCCTGGGATTATGACCTGAGCTGAAGGCAGATGCTTAACAACGGAGCCACCCAGGCGCCCCTGTTTTTAAGTTTTTAACCTTGGACAGCCATCACCCTTGTTGACCTTGTCGTTTTTTTGGTCTTGGACTTTGTTACACCTCTTGGTGCATGAGGAGTGCGGCATCCGCAGGGGGTAATAGTGGTGTTTGTTGGCTTGTCGCAGGTACCATATGCTAGATGGCTTCAGACTTTTTCATTAAAACAAGCATCTCGTATTCCTTTGTTAGTGGTGGCTTTGCCAGATGTTAAAATGGCCAGCAACAGGGCACTCCTAGGTTCTAGGTATGGTCCGGATATTGTGAGGAAAGAGGTATTAAAACACTCTTTTGGGGGGGCCAAAGAATCTCCAGGTCTCCAGTGTATACTGCAGGGCTCCATTAAGAGTACCTGGCCACCACACACTCCAGCCCACATCCCCCCAAGTGCCCTCTGCTTCATGGACTCCCAAATGCTGTCTATAAGGAGTGGCCTGAAGGGCAGTCAGGGTCCCAAGTTTGGGATGGAGCTGAAGCCACAAAATCCAGTCAGACCAGGCAGGAGGCCAGAGACCCTGAGGAGGTGCTCACAGAGCCTTCCTCCTTCCACACAGAGACTTTTCTTTTCTTGGGGAAGCACAGAGCTCTGGGTTGGTGTATTTTATTTTTCTTTGCTCTAAGATGTTTGTTTTCTCTTGTTCAGAGGTTAGCACTTTAAAGGATCTTTTTGGACTCGCCAGTAATGGTAGGCATCCTTTCCATTCTTGGCGCGTGGGTTTAGTATGCATGTGGCTGGAGATGCTGAATGAATGTTCTTGCCTTTCAACACATCTGGGAGCTAAAATGCCTCTTTATTTTTAGAGCATGACCTCTCAATGGCAAAATACAGCAGGCTTCCTAAAAAAAAGGAGAACGAGAAGGTAAGAATGCCTACCTGACTTGTTGTTTTTCACCTCGTTTACTTAAGCTCCTTTTCTATGTTCCTGCTGTGAATTCGTGGCATTGAGGGTAACTTGATGAATTCTTTTTCTTCTTTCCTATACATAGATTTTTAATTACTTACTCTGAATCTCATAAGTAGACTTCTACCTCCCTATTCTAGCTTTTCAAACTGGTTTATTAAACACCAACTTGGAACCATTGTATAATTACATTAGCACAATGATTTCAACTCAGGCTTGGTACCTCGTGCTTGTCTGCCTCATACGTATTCAGGTCACTTGAATTTCTTGTCCTGGGTGTTGACTCTGCTTCTTTCACTCATGCTTTTTTGCTACTGTAGATGATATTGACCATTTTAATGCATCTAAATTCCTACTTCTGTTGCGTGATTTCCTTGAGCTAAATTATTTCCTTGGAATACAATCTTATGAGTGAACTAAAATGTTTGTGGCTTTCAGTGCATGCTACCATATTGTTCTCCTAAGGGATCTGAGAGTAATTGGCTTCACCCCAGGGCAGCCCCACAAGCACAGAGATGCTAATACTTTGGTATTTTTAATTGGGAGTTTTTAAAACATAAGGTGGAACCTTATCTGAGTTTTATTGGTTGCAGAAATGGGTCTCGTGAGTAAATGCACACTGTTGAAGCTTCATGCTCTTATAGAATTGCCACGTCCATCAGACAGCCTGACGTTTTCCTCCCGCCTCTCACCCAGGTGAAGACAGATGTCGTGAAAGAGGTGGCAGCTGCACGGCGGAAACAGCACCTCTCTTCCCTTCAGTACTACTGCGCCCTCAACACGCTGCAGTACAGGAAGCGTGTGGCCATGATGGAGCCCATGATAGGCTTTGCCCACGGACAGGTAGGCCGTGCCCTTCCCCTAAGGGCTAAGACCTGAGCCAGCTGGGGAGAACAGCTTGGCATTCCTGCTGAGCTAGCCTTTAAGAGAAACCAAAACATCATCAGAGAAAGAAACACGAATGCACCACCTCCCTGGAACCTTCCTTAGACTCAGCACGTGGAGAGCTTCCGGGTGGGCTGGCTGATCGTTAGCTGGACTTGTCAGGCTGTACGTGCAGATGGTGACGGCCTCGGTCCCAAGCCTCCCGTGGGGAAGGGCTGGTGTGGCCCTTTGCCTCTGAGCCAAGTGAGAGCCAGGCCTGGTCTGATGTCCTGAGAAGCAGCTGACTGCTCAGGTTGGTGGAGCTGGGCCTACAGCTCAGGACCCCCGCACGGTCCCATGCTACTCTGGGTGGTGAGGGTCACCCTCAGCTGGGCTGTTCTCCTTGCTGAGGTCATGGCTGGCACCTTGGCATCCGGGGCGTGGCGAAACACTGCCATGGTTTGCTCAAGTCTCTGTCCAGGATGTAGGTGACTTCTTCCCCCAGTTAGTGGTCTCCTGAACATCCGTCTGTCAGGAGGCTCCAGTGGCAGGGCGGGGCCCTGGCCCAGCAGCACCCAGCCTGGCAGGGACAGGAGTGAGTGTGCATATGGGGTGAATGCCCCCCATCCCTGCCGTGCTCTAGCCCCACTTACACGGACTCTAGCACCTCACCCCGCGTGCAGGAAACACACCCAGGAATCTTCTCTCAGCTGACGACAATCTGGGAACAGAAAGGGATGTCAGGAAGCAGAATGTTGAGAAGAAAAAAAGTCAGCAACTTTTTAAAACTCCACGTGTGTGAGCATCTATTCTTTTTTAACACATGTTAAAAAATACATATATTTCAAAAAACACAACATCAGTAGCATTCAGGGGAAGGGAACAAGAGAGGATCTTTAGGCGTTCAAGCTCAGGGATCTGTCTTCTTAATGTGGTTGTGACGTTGAATGATGAGGTAACTCAAGTCGGCTGATGCCTTCAGGGGTGATATTTAAGTAGAGAGCTAGAATCTGTCTGTGTCATCTGCGTAAAGCTGGGTTGAACCCACAGCTAGCCCTGTCCAGCCGCGGGCTCCGGTCCGCAGCAGACCTCTGGCAGCGTCCAGCTTCCTCGTGGTGGGCGCTGATACCCGCCTCTCTCCTTCCTTAGTTACTGCACCTCTGCTCGGCGGAGGGCCTGGCCGTGCTGGAGATCGTCGGTCTTGCCTTTGCTCTCTAATAACGCCTCCTGTCCCGTCTGTCCTCCCTGGACTGACAGTCCGGGCCTGTGGAGCAGGAATCCCCACTCTTTAGAGGCCCAGGGTCAGAGGGGGGCCTGGACTGAGCCTCAGAAAGATGAGCAGCTGTAGGCTGAGCAGGTAGTGGTTGGGGCACCCAGTTAGTTAGGGAGGGGCCTCACAGGTATAACGGATGGACTTGTTCCTGGCTGCTTTCACTCTGTTCCACCTGAAGTATCACACCGGCTTCTCTTGGCCTGCACTTTCTAAGTGAAGGCTGCCCCAGGGAGAGGGGGCCCGGCTGCAGGAGCACCCCCCGCACCCCTGGGCCTGGTGACATGGAGAAGAGCCGCACACTGTCATGTCATTGTTGGGTGGCCGAAGCAGCATTTTCGAGGACTGAGGATGGCATGTTTCACTTTTCATGTGGAAAGTACCCAGATTTCAAGACACAAGACCAAATAGTCCCTCCCCCTGCAGACTTCAAATCCTGCCAAGAACTATAGCTCCTTCACTTAATACCAGTTGTTGTCTAAACCCATGAATCTTTTGGATGATTCCAAAGCATTCGCTCTCCGTCTGCCTTATCAGCCCTTTTAAATCAGCATTGACTAAGCGTCTACCTTTGTTAGCTGATGCCCATCTGACCACTGTACTTCCTGCAGCTCACGAAGGCGTGAGAATCTGGGTCTTTGGATGATGTGGCCCTGAATCAGGCTTCTCGGCACCACCCACCCACTTAGGTGCAAGCTGTTTGACTTCATTTCTGCCTCCCCTGGCCATTGCTAAACAGGCCCTTGCACTGAAATCACGATTCAGTCGTCATGCCTGAAACAGGTTTTGCAAGCTGTGTACAGGTTTATGAGATCACAGAAATCAAGTCCAGGGTAGTATTCACAGGGTAGATCTGATGAAAGGTGGCTGGAGAAGCCAGGATCTCATCCCTCCCTTCCATTCCTTCAGATCAGACTCCTTGAGGGATTGCAGGAGCCCTCCGACCCACCCACCCCCAGGAACTTGCAGAATAGCAGGGGAGCTAAGACATGGAATTTGGAGTATAAATTCCAAGGGGTTCAGGGAGGGGTAGGAGAGGAAAGCCACTGGGAGGCTGTGTCCTTAGAAATGCAGAAGCCTCCTTGAACAGACTTTGATATTTGAGGTTTTGGAGATTCAGAATGGCATTTACTGTTTTGATCTCTGTATGATTAAAAGATCACGGGGCCAGAGCAGCTCCCTGCATGATTACCGTGCATTAGGATAATCGTGATCATCCTCTGTTTTTATCCTGTGAAAATTAAGGGCATGGGAGTGCATACTTCCCCAGGATGTGAGCATGACAACACGTGCCAGCCTCATTGGGGTGCGCCATCAAGTTCTGTGCCCACCACACAGGGTAGGGGCCGCTTCCAGATCAAGACACATGAGCTGGCATAGAGTGTGAGAAAATACCCACGTCCAAAGCTGAGCATTTTCTCCCTTTTCTCATGGCTCAGGCTTGCAGCTCTTAGCTCTCTGTGATCAGGCATGTAAGATGGAGCAGTTCAAACCCAGTATTCAGATTTTTTAAAGCCTTAGCCATGGAAAGAAATGGAGACTTGAGCTTTGGGGCCGGATGCTTACAGATGTAGTAATGCACAGAGGTGGCCACTCTTCCCCTTACCCCTGCCCTTCAGGGTTTGTGAGGCAACCCCGACTTCCTGGGAAGTGAATACCCCGGAGTCACAAGAAGTAAGGACTTCCTTCTATCCCTTCCCCAAAAGCCAGCAATTGAAGTTTTATTTTCAAAGGAGACGGAGCCCTCCTGGGGCCACCCTCCCCTGGGCGGAGGGAGCCCACATCCCAGGACGTTGGAGGCCGGAAGGGAGCTCACCTGTCCGAGCACCTTTCCAGGCCCAGAACTCTGCTGCCTCCACACCCACAGTCCCCTCTGGGTTGACGTCAGGGTTGGAAGAGCCTCGTAAGGGTCTTTAACCCTGTTTCCCCTGGGCAGTGTCCCAGCCGTATCCTCTGTCCAGCTCGTGTTCCGAGCCACGCGCGGCTCGCTGATGGGGGTCACCGCGGCCTTCGGGGTTTGCTCCTCCTCCCCGTCTGGTTCTGGCCGGCGTTGTGCAGGTCAGGTGTCACACACCGATGGAGCCCCTGGAGACGCAAAGGTGGAGACCTACTCCTTGCCCCTCAGAAGTTTTCTATCTAGAATTCACAGAGGAAAAGAGCTGATGACGGGACTATCAGAGATAATTGTCAGTAACTCCCGACGCGCCTGGTCTGGTATGTGCCAAGGAGTGAACTCACATTATCCCTGATGTTTCCGTCCGGCCTGTCAGTAGGAGAGCTCGGTCCCAGCGCCCCCATTCTGCAGCGCACTGGGGGCTCTGGGAGGAACTCGCTGGCGTGGGGGGCTCCGCAGGGGTGCACGGAGCACTGCGAGCACGCGGTGGGCCCGGCCAGCCAGGGTCACCACCCCCGCGCTGTCAGTCCCGCACGGGATGTGCTCACTGATCACCTTTCCTAGATGACCTTCAGAACATCACCATTCTGTCTTTCAGATTAACTTTTTTAAGAAGGGAGCAGAGATGTTTTCCCAAAATATGAACAGCTTTTTATCCTCAGTTGCGGACATGGTCCAAAGGTAAGGCTGTACTCCACTCTGGGTCCTGGGGGCCTTTGCCTTTCCAGCTGAATCCACCCCTCTGGGAGGTGGGGGTGCCCCACGGAGCCCCACCACCATGGGGACTCTGGGCAGTGGGCCCCTTCTTAGCTGCCGGTATTCAGGAATACTGAGGCTGGAAAGTAATGCCTTCTGGCGTTCCCCCCTTCCCTGCCCCCCCATCCCAGAGGCGTGCCCACCACGTGAATGGATTACGTAGCTTAAAGAAAAGATAAAGTGTCCGCAGGGGGACTGTCCCATCAAGTCCCAGTTGCTGTGCTGAGGGAGGGTCTCCTTCTGTGTGCTGACGGCCGGTCTTTACATGCTCCAGCCTGTGAGCCCGGCGTAGGCTCGCTGTGGATTTAGAAGTGGCCTCACTTCCCCTTTGGAGCCAAGGGGTTGGCAGCCAGAAGTGCAGTGACTCTTTAGGAAACTGGCCGTCACGTCCATTTATGATAGATAATGAGGCTTTACGCCTTTTTTGAATTAATTTAACAAATCGCACTTCAGCCTTGCAAATGCTTGTTTTTTAAAACATACACCATCCGTTCTTCAGGCTGTCCTGCCACGTTTAGCTGATGCTCAGACACCCTTTGCCTCCATCGCCAGTGTCCATGACAGTGAGCCCAAGGAGGCTTGTTTCATTCACACCGCACGTGTGGCTCTGGGAGTGGTCCGTGGCTTCTGGAGTGTGGGGGAGAGAGAGTAATCGAGAAGCAGATACACAAAATGGAAGTAGGAGTGTAGGGTTTTGTTTTGTGTGGAAAAACGGAGGAAGGTTGCTCCTTTGAGGATGTTGCATTTCAAAATACCTTTTTAAAAAAAAAACATTTATGATTGATTGATTTTAGAGTGAGCGAGCGAGCAAGTGCAGGGAGGGGGCAGAGGGAGAGAGTAACATGAGCAGGCTCCTCACAGAGCACAGAGCCTGACACGGGGCTCGATCTCACAAGCCTGAGATCGTGGCCTAAGCCGAAGCCAGGGGTCAGATGCTTAACTGACTGCGCTACCCAGGCGCCCATGCATTTCAAAATACCTGGAGGCCAGTAGTGGACTTTGTTGAGGCAGAAGTGTACCTCAGATGCTGAAAATAATGAATCCCAAGGAAATCCAGAGCTGAGCATTCGTAGGAGTGCGCGGGAGGGCTGTGGTTCTGAAGGCATCTGCGCCTTCCTGGAAGTCACAGCTGCTCATGCCTGGCCGCCGCGGCCCTGGTGGGGCTGGTCTAGGAGGAGGCCGGAAAGCACTCTGAAATCCGATTGCAGTGTCCTGCCATTTCATCTGGTTGTTAGCTGCTGGGGGTGTTAGAAGAAAGGAAGGCAAGGCGCCCACTGTCGCTTTTCACCTCTCTCCCCCAGCCCTCTCTGACCACCTCTGTCTTACCCTGCTTTAGCTCCCTGAATCCCCTGGCTTTCTGTGTTCTGGGAGAACCATCTGTGCTTCAAAGGTTTTTCCTGCACTAGATTTTGTTGTTAACGGATGGCGGGACATTTGCGCTCATGTTTGAGATGCTGTATCTCTCTGCAGATCTCAGAGCCTCTGTCTACAGCTCAACCTTCCAGGTGTTCCACACCTCAGCATGCACGCATGCACACGAGCCAGAGCCTGGCGTTGGCCCTCTCACCCTTGGTGCGCAGCGTGGGCAGTCTCGGGTGGTGGTAGGGCTGCCATGAATGGAAGAGCATTGCCTTTGTCTTGTCACTGCACCTTGGTCCCACCTCCTGGTCATTTTTCTGTCTCCAGTGTCCCTTCCCACCTTAGGGGAGCTGGGGTGGGGGCAGGGAGGTGGCAGGAATGATTGCTGTCTCCTTCCTTTCTACCTGTTCCGCAGGCAGCCTGCCCTGCAGCCCTGAGGATGGGCTCTTCAAAGCTTTTCTCCTAAAATTTGCATCAACATGGGCTGCCTGGTGGCTCAGTCAGTTAAGACTCCAACTCATGACTTTGGCTCAGGTTGTGATTTTGGGGTGGTGGGGTCGAGCCCCACATCGGGCTCCACGCCCCCTTTGCATGCTCTCTCCCTCTCTCTCTCTCTCTCTCTCTCTCTCTCTCTCTCCCCTTCCCTCTCCCACCCTCCCTCTCCCTCCCACCCTCTCTAAAATGGATGAATGAGTCTTTTCAAAAAAATTGCCTCAACAGTTCTAAGCCTGGATCCCGCTTTGTCAGCAGAGAAATTGGAGAAATTGTTCTGCTGGGTTCCGGCATTGTCCAGTGGTGTTCCTTCTGCTCTGTTTTTTTTATTATTTATTTATTTATTTATATTTTATTTATTTGACAGAGAGAGCACTAGCAGAGGGAGAGAGAGGGAGAAGCAGGTTCCCTGCTGAGCAGGGAGCCCGATGTGGGACTCGATCCCAGGACGCTGGGATCATGACCTGGGCTGAAGGCAGCCGCTTAACTGACTGAGCCACCCAGGCGTCCCTCTTCTGCTCTGTTTTAAAGGAGCACTCCTATGAACGCTTTTAGCAGCGCAGACTCAAGCCCCACGACGCCCAGCTTCTGGGCCCTGAGCCCCCCTCGTGTGGCAGGAAGCCGTGGGGACAGCTCTGGCATCTGCTGCTCAGCGGTACTGGGTCGGCCGTTGGGGGGGGTAGCCACTGACCCGACACCTTCTGTCTTAAGCATTCAGGTGGAACTAGAAGCCGAAGCAGAGAAGATGCGGGTGTCCCAGCAAGAACTGCTCTCTGTTGATGAGTCTGTTTACGCCCCGGACTCTGACGTGGCTGCACCACAGATCAACAGGAACCTCATCCAGAAGGCTGGTTACCTTAATCTTAGAAGGTGAGAATGCTGTTGCTTGCCTCTCTTTCTGAAAACTGTTTTCCCTTAGGTGGTTATGGAGCGTCTGTTCAGGGGAGGTTGTGGAAGAATTCCCACCACAGGAGCCTCCTGCCGGCCACACGGGAAGCCTCTGGGGTTCAGGGCCCAAGTCACTGAGGGGTGGGCTCGAACCAGTCTTTAAGAACCCAGTACTTGGACTCCGAGGGGTGGACCACCCCTGTCCCTGGTTACCGTGGCCATACGCAGATAGCCTGCTCTTAACCATCGTCATCCTGGACCGTAGGGAGTTTTTGTCACATCCCGCCCTTGGCCCAGGCCCCTGACAGGTGCTCGAGGCCTGCCGCTGAGGCCGGAGTCTGAGGGCCAGCAAGCCTCAGGGTCATCCAGGTTCTCACACACACTTAATCACACTGTAACACTCGGGGCTATTTGACTTGAAGGGAGGACGATCAGGCTTCCTTGTGTCCAAGAGCAGATGGAGGCTATTCGGTGGGGTGAAGACTCTGACTTGGGTCCAGGCACACCCCCTGGCGGGGTTTCACGCATGAGGCGGAGCTGATAATCACATCTACTAAATAAAGTTGTTACAAGGACTGAATGAGGTCATTCCTAGTAGGTAGTAAGCACTCAGATGTTAGCTATTCCCAGTTTTGGGAAATAACTGTAATTATTGAGGCAAGAAGCCTAGTGCCCTGCACTTAGTTGCTACTCGATAAACACTGAATCAAGTAAATGTACCTGATAGTTCGCAAATGGAGGATCCACAGGGAGGACTCACCAGCTGTTTTCTTACCAAGGTGGAGCTCCTCGAAGCTCAGCTTGTTGAGATCACAAGTTAAATATCTCTATCAGTTTGTATGGATGGAAATCCCTACAGGGTTGGTGTTATTTGCCAGTTACTGGATATTCCTCTTGTAAGCAGCCCACAAAGCATCCAGTTGGAGCAAAACTCAATGTCGTAAATGCCCGCAGGATTCCGGGTGCTGTGAGCCGAGGGGACCCTGGTGACTTTCCCTGGACTCAGAGCAGTTCAGCTCCACGTCTTAGAGAAATGACCATCTAGGTTTTCAGTTCCTAATGGGGATGGACTAATTCCATTTCCAGATCCCGGGAGAAGCCAGTGTCTAGCTGCCGTGGGGGACGGGGTTGGGGGGAGACATGCTACCTGCACACCGGAGCTGGCCCTGGGCTGCCACCGCCTAACTTCCAGGTCATTCCAGCTAAATTGTGCCTCTTCTGCCCCTCTGCATTTGGATTCCTTCCAAAGCAGCTTTGCTTTAATGTAAAGAAACACTATTTCTAAAATGCCACCAATACTGGTCAAGAGGCAGCCAGACCTTGAGGTGCTGCGTGGGCTTCCTTGTACCAGTGGGCGTTCTAAAACCACAATTCTTACAGTAAAACAGGGCTGGTCACCACCACTTGGGAGAGGCTTTACTTCTTCACGCAAGGCGGGAACCTCATGTGTCAGCTGCGGGGCGCCGTGGCCGGAGGCCTGATCCAGGACCTGGACAACTGCTCGGTGATGGCAGTGGATTGTGAAGACCGACGATACTGCTTCCAGATCACCACGCCCAACGGGAAATCGTAGGCCACACGGCGTTTATTTGGGAGGAGAGCAAGTCTAGTGACTCCACCCCTGCCAAGGGCCTCCTAGCTCAGCCCTCTGCGCCGGCCTCCGTGGGAGAGGCCCCGCTCCGGGTCCTGCTGACCTTTGGGGAGGACGTTTTTATGTGCTCTTTAAGCACTCACACAGGACCCTTGTGGGATCCACTCTGCCTTATTTAAGGAGCCCCAGTGCGGGTTTGTCCGTGGCTTTGGAGGGGACATGGCATTCATGTGGGAGGCAGCCATAGGAGGAGCTGTTTGTCAGGAGAAGGCGGTGCCCGTTCCTGCCTGCTCTGCAGAAGCCCTGTGTTTGTACGGGTGCGGGGGGAGGAGGGAGGAGAGCCCCCAGACCTGCCTGTGCGGAGCCCTCTGCTCCAGCTGAAACCCGAGATGGACAGTGCACTCGGCCCCATGCTGTCCCCGAAGACCCCCCGTGTCCTTCAGGAGCCCAGAAGAGGTCACTTAGGGTCATTCACAGGGACCGCCCGCACTTCAGCTGTGGCTGCTTGCATTTGCTTCCGTGTGGAGCTCTGAGCTGAGCTCCTGTGTCGACAGGAGCGTGTTCGGGCAAGTCGGTACAGTGTGGACCGTCTGCTTGGTTGGCAGAGCAGTTTCAGACCTCGTCCTTCCTCCTGGGTGACAGGAGCGAACTGGGATCCCAGCCCTGGTTATGTAACTCCTTGGTCTTCCGAGATGTAAAACAGGAGAAGAGCCATGCTCCCCCCTCCCACCGCTGTGGGGTCCCTGGAAAGGGTGAAGCCCTCCCCAGAGGTAGGGCAGTGTTATTTGCATCCGATTCCCCCACTCCCCTCCGTGGGAAGGTGTGCGGGGTCTGCTGACTCTGGGCCGGGCTCCTGGTGGCCCCAATCACCCGAGAGGCCAACAGGATGTCCTCAGCCTCGAGCTAGTAGATCTGAGCCCAGCTGCTCACTTTACAGATGAGAGAGCGCAGGCCCAGGGGAAGGAAGTATCTGTCCAGGATCACACAGTGAATGAGCAGTGAGCTGGAATCCCATTTTCTTTCCTTCCTGTCATCCTGCCTTCCCCGCCCTTCCCTTTGGGACCCAGCTGAGTTCAGTGCATGTGGAATAAGCCTCAGTCAGAGGTGTGGGAAGCACTGACTTGGATACACTTTATTTCAGGGGAATAATCCTCCAGGCAGAAAGCAGAAAGGAAAATGAAGAGGTAAAGGTTTCGTTCTTTCACTTCTGTCCTAGTCTAGCGGGTGACTGGGATCCAGCAGATTTGTTAATGTCCTCTCTCCACAGTGGATAAGTGCCATAAACAACATCTCCAGACAGATCTACCTGACTGACAACCCAGAGGTAACTCACTCTGCCTTCCCGGCATCCCTGGCCCTTGCTCAGTCTGAAGGGTGAGTGCCCCTCCTGGGACTGAGCCTGTCCTCCGGTGCATTTGTAGGCGGTCGCCATCAAGTTGAATCAGACGGCTCTCCAAGCAGTGACTCCCATTACAAGTTTTGGAAAAAAGCAAGAAAGCTCATGCCCCAGGTAACTAAAAGACAGCGGAAAAGTGGCTTTGTGTGTACTTAGGAGTTAGGAATTTGACGGGAGTTACTTCATCCTCACACACCACGTCGGGGTGGAGTTCAGGCTGTCAGGAGAGGTGGGGTATTCGCCCACGGTCACCCCACCTGCGAGGGGCAGAGCCGGAGCCACGGCTGCGTGACCCTGGCGCCATCCTTGCCTTTCCTGCTGGCCCACACAGCCACAGCCCGGGCAGACAGGGCCGGCGCCAAGGGTCTGCTGGTCAGGGCTTCTCACGTTTTCTGTCAGCATCAACAAAATTCTGGAGCCCAAACAACTTTTTTTAAATAAGAAACAAAATCACCTTTTCTGCATCTGTGTTACCGCCCAGGCCTTACCCGCCCACATACAGATCCTTCGGCGTGTGCGTTAATTTTTCCTTTTTCACATATATTTTTCATATTTTTACATTTCTCATATTTGTCCCTTTTAGTAACTACACACACTCTTCTGTGACTTATTATTAGCTGTGGAACATTTAGGTGGCCCCCCTTTCCTTTGTTTGCTCTTATCACATAGAGTGAACATTTTCACGCATCTAGCTTTGCTCTTGTTTTGAATACAGCTTCAGGGTTTATTCCAAGAATCTCACCTCTTGTCTTAATGGGAGTTTCCATTTGCTTAACTGATAGAGCGCTGTAGTATTGCTCACGCCGAAGTTACAATTACGACTGTGTGTGGTATCCATGTTTCAGTGGCATGGTAGAAAAAACCCCATTAAATAAATGCTTCACAGATGCTATCTCGTGAGTCCAGACAGATGTCATCAGAAAGCTAAGAGTTCAGCTCCTGGGGTCTTGATGCTGTGCGGTGGGGCGCCAGCCCTGGGTGTGCAGGAAGGAGCAGTAGACAAGGTCAGAAAGTGGCTGTGAGTTTGATGTGAATGGATTGGGGGCCCTGCTTAGGTGCTCTGGGCCATGGAGCAGAACTGCAGGCTGAGGGGGCTGGCCCGCCACAGCCGGTGTGGAAAGGACACACTGGATCTGGGGCGTGGCGGGGCGGTGGACAGGGCAGGGATGCCTGGAGTAGCTAAGACAGAACGGGAGAAGCTGAGCGCAGGTAATAAAAATGGGCACGAGGCAACAGGTGACACTTGAGTGCTGGGTTTCACAGTTTACACGGGCAGCATGTTCATGAAGGGCAGCGCTACGGAGGGCGCTGCGAGTGGAAGTGGGAATACGGATCGGGCCAGTGGGCTAGGCCGCGAGCCTCGTCGGTGAAGGCGCCGGCCTGCTCTCCGTACAGCTGCGAGCTGGGCACGCTGGAGAACGCTGGCCTCGGAATTATGAGACCTTCCGATGGCTCTGCCTTCAACACAGCTAGCTGGCCTGGCGTGGCTCAGCTCTCTGGGCCTCTGTCTCCTTGACTTTGTGACACAAGAAGATGCAAAACTAGGTGACCGCCCCGGTCCCTTTGCAGTTCTAACACTGTCTAAGGTGCCCATGTGTCGTTTGACTAGTGTTAGTAATTAAAGGTATGACTGGTTTTCTAAAAAAACAATTTGTAGCTCAGATTTAATTATTCAGTTACTGATTTTTCTCCCTGTTATAGAATAAGTAAGTCACACAGAAGAATCCTGAAACAACAAAGACCTCTAGCCAGGCAGCTGAATCAACTCAGAGACTGGAAGGGTGATGGATGTGGCTGCCAGACGGCCCAGAGCTGTGGAGGCTGGGGGGGTGGGGGAGGGCAGTGCTCCTGTCTCTCTCAGGGTCAGCTCATTAAGAATAAAGAAATGTTTTGATGACAGTCAGGGCAAAGAAGCAGAGAAACTGTTCGTGGGAACAAACTGCCACTCACTTCTAAGCAAGTCTCACGGGTGGCCCTGCCCCTGCAGGCAGTGTACCTCCAGTGCTCATTCACTGGTCCAGCTGTTCAGGTATCGGTGTGTGTGTGGAGTATCTGCTCTGTGCCCCAGGCACTGGGCGAGGTGGTAAAGCTAAGTCTTGTCGGTAAAGACCAGCAGGAGGTAAATAAATACTCAGTTAAAATGGAGAAAAGCGCTCTGGTGTTAAAGACGAACGTGCTGTCATGGAGAGGCCTGCCCTCGGAGATAATACTTAGACTGAGAAGTGAACAATGAGAAGTAGGCACTCGTACAAAGAGCCAGATTCATGCACTCCTGGCAGCAGTTCTGGAGGCTAGAAGGCAGGCGAGAGCTTAGTGTGTTTGAAGAACTGAAAGGGGGCCAGTTAACTACAGTGTGGGCACAGGGGGGTCACGGAGCAGGGTGAGGTTGGGGAGGGAGGGAGGCAGAACAGATCATGAAGGAAGTCATGGTCAAGGACCTGGGGAGTTGTCAAAGGGTGCAGAGAGCTAGATGTGCACGTGTTGGAGAGAGATGATCTGCTTTACATGATCGAAGGGCAGCTCTGGCTACAGTGGAGGACAGAAGATTGAGGGGCCCGCAACACATCCCAGGAAGTGTCAAGTGATCAACGGATGATACACGCCTGGAGCACAGAGGAAATCCCAGGGCTGAGTATATGAGTCGGGAACTCAAGGGCACGGACACAGCAGTGGCAGAGATCATCGAGGGAGTGAGTGTAGAAGGAGAAGACAGGAGCCTCGGACAAAATCCTGAAGAACTCCCACACTTGTCATAGAAGGGAAGGAACCTACAAAAGCCACCAAGAAACATCAAGGAAAATGGTGTCAGTAGGAACCAAGAAAGAAGAGTTTTGAGGAGGGGGGCTCAACTCCGTGAGCTGCTTTGACGTGGGGGTGTTTGAAGTAGGACAACGCTCACAAAGCGTGTGTCCATCAGGGTTGGTGACGTGGAGGTCACAGGTGATGCTCCATCATGTCACTCCTGTGTTCAGAGTCTTCCGTGGCTCCCGATGCTGTAGACTCAAGTGCAGACCTCACCTGATGGGGTCACTGCCCTCCACACGTGGCCGCATCCTGTTGTCAGTGTGTTCTCTTCCCGTAGACTCTCTGGGGAGCCAGAGTCGGGGACGCCCTTTGCTCCCTTTAAGCTTCTGCTCCTACTTCCTCCAGTGCTCACCACATACAGGCTCCTGCCCCTCCCTTAGAGACTGGATGAGCGAGCAGGTGGGACTCTGCCCTTCTGGACTGAGGCAGTGTGACGTCAGCGAGAGCACTAAGCTGGCAGCGAGGAGACCGCCGCCGGCAGCCTGGCTCACGCACCTGGGCACCGAGAGCCCTCGGGATTACTCCATTTCCCTAGAGACCGCTCTTTCCTTTTCCGGTAACGATGGAGGTGAAACAGAGGGGTCTCTCCTTGCAGTGTCTACACACCCATGTTGTATCTCTAGCCACTTCCGGGTCAGTGTGCTCACCTGTCAGCAAGTCGTTTCATACAGAAGATTCAGTTATTGACAGACTCGAGAAAAATGAACAGAGATATTGAAAGCCTTCTTATGCTCCAAATAGTGTAAGAAATCAAAATACTGTGACATTCTTTGTCCCTCAAAGGAGCTGACCCTGGAGCTGGGGAGAAAAGATCATAAAGGCGTGAAAAGTTGAATGACAACAGCCTGACAGAGAGAGGAAACATGGTGGCACATGACTAATCACCATGCTGACGGTCCCTTCTGCGTGTGCGCGCACAGAGCAGAGCTCAGGGACTCACAGAGGGTCGGGGCTGGCTTGAAAGGCTTGGAGGAAGAACAGGAATTTGAGCTGGTGTTGGAAGTTGGTGGGGGGAATTGGGATGGAGAAGGAAACAAGGGAAAGCATGGGGTGTGAGGGGGTAGCTCCAAGGGAGGGTGCATTACGGGGGTGGGGAAGGAGGCTCTCAGGAGAAAGTAAAGCCATGTTGTGAATGCTAGGCCAAGATGTATTCCCTTGTTCAGTTAACTTTTTTTTTTTTTTAATATTTTATTTATTTATTTGAGAGAGAGAGAGAAACAGCATGAGAGGGGATAGGGTCAGAGGGAGAAGCAGGCTCCCCACTGAGCTGGGAGCCTGATGTGGGACTCTATCCCAGGACTCCGGGATCATGACCTGAGCTGAAGGCAGTCGCTTAACCAACTGAGCCACCCAGGCGCCCTCAGTTAACATTTTTGAGTGCCTTCTATGTACCAAGTAATAAATAGGATTTAGCTGTAGCCCCTGCTCTCAAAAACCTGTCTCACCATGTATCATATGACCTCACTGATATGAGGAATTCTTAATCTCAGGAAACAAACTGAGGGTT